TGTGCTGAGAAGCCAGGAGCGCTGTTCCTCATAGCATGCAACAAGACAAGATTAAACAAGCCACGCTACTAGAAAGGGGAAAGACAACATTTTTCTTGCCCTCTTAGGGCCTGAAATTTCTGAGCTGCTGTTTATTTGGTGCTTGGAACAGAAAATATTGATTGTAATAATATGTGGTTTTCTATCATGTTACTCTTTTTCCCTAGCTGCTTTAGAAGGGCTTTGCACATGGTAGCAAGAATTATTGCCCTCCTTGGACAGACCCTCAAATAGGGAAGGATGACTTGCCCACGCAATGAATGGGAAAATCTCTGGCAAAATCCAGCTCCCATCCTGGTGTCTTCCCTACTGGTCACACTCTCATAGTGTATTGCTATAGCACTTCTCGTACCAGCTTTTCAAGAGCTTGTAGATAGGAAGAGCCCACCTTCCTATATACAGGGGCACTGATGTAGCATAGGGTACCTTTACCTCCTGCTGTGCTTCTGCTCCATATGGGGCCCTACCTCCAGCCACCGCCATGAGGAAAGGTGCTGTGGACAGTGGTAGGGGACACCATATGGTATCTATGCATACAAATTTGACTTGGCCATGGTGGGACAAGCAAGGCTGGGGACCTTATTCACAGACCTTTCTGTCTTCCCCCCTGCCATGAGAGCGACGATACATGGTGGCCACAGGAGTCCTTGCATAAAGAAAGATTTGCTGCAGCTACATGTAGCCATGCTCTGCGTGGAGCACAACAATTGTCTAACAGTACAAAATATCCAAACCCCAAGGTTCAGGACAGAAGGAGCAAGGAAAGGATTGACTGAAAAGGAAAAGAAGATGCCTATTGAGTTTGATGCTTCCCACATAAGAGGAACTACTTCAATATCTATGCCTACCATCAGGTTGGCAAGAAGCTTTATAGCAGACTTGCTTTCCTGTGAAAAATAACAGTCTAATATTGCAGAGGTGAATGTCAACTATATGTAGGTGTTCCAGAAACGTCCCTTTCCCATGCTCACATCCAGCCTCCATTAGCTCAGCATGGGAGGAATAATGAAAGCTGAAAACAGAGGGTGTGGATGGAGATACTTCACAGGGTCTCTGTTAACTTCCCATCCATGTAACCCCTGGCACACTTAACAGCATTTTCTGCAGAGGTCACCCAGATCTTGCCATGATTTTTGTTCAAACTACACTACCACTCTCCTGGAAAATTCTGGTGTGCAGGTCCAGAGGTGCTTTGAACTCAGATGTTGTGGGAACAGGTAACATCTCAGGATTTGCTACAATGCAGACCTGAAGATGAGCATTTCCTAGATGAAGTTATCCCACAGCTGCTCCTCACAAATTGCTCTCATAAGCCAGGAAGTCCCCTCAAGGCTGAGAAAGAGCCATGGGGCACGTCCCCAGGTGTGCCAAGACAAGACAGTGAAGACACTGATGTTGGGAGGCAGCTGGAGAGGGACCCTTGCCCCATGTGCAGAGAGAGGCATTGGGTGCCAGTGAGAGAGGCACTGGCAGGGCAGGCAGAGTGTGGGGGCTCAGGTGCAGGGAAGGTAATGCACAGCCAGCAAGGCTCATTGCAGAGGTCAGTGCTGTGTACACCCCAGTACGTACATCTAAAATATCATTGTAAGTGATATATGCATATATCAACAAATCCCACCTGGCCAGTACACAGCCATTAGCATGTGGCAGTTTGCTGTGAGCACAAGTGAATAATGGCTTAGGGGCATGTGCTTCAGGGCGAGGTTAAAAGGTGACTCCTGTATGGTGCAAGTGGATTAATATGACTGGACACGATGCTGGCTTTTCTTCTCGCTTCTGGCAGAGTAAATCAAGAGTAACTGCACTGAAGTCAATACATGTATTAAATTCATTGGTACACAGGGGCTGAAAAGCATATGATTTTAAAAGAACATCTCGATTACAAGCTGGAGAACAGAAACAATGAAAAATGTGGCTGCTTGCATGGCTTCCTGTGGTGCTTTATTATGGCTCTGCTCCTTCCATACGAGCTCTATCCCAACAGGCGCCCTCACAGACCCATCTGCGAGAAGAGCTCCTACCGTCCTCCTTATTATTGCCACTACAGGGAAACCCCATCTCCATTCTGTGTAGCAGAGGTCCTCCCTGTGCTGACCTTGCTGCAGAGAAATGCTGGCTCCTGGGGAGGTGGAAGGAGATTTAGTCAATGCAGCATTAAACATAGACACAGTGGCTGAAGCCCCAGCGCCTAAAACTGGAGTTATGCCACTGGTGCCAAAAAGGTGTTGAATACATCCTGATACGATGAACAGGAATATTATGTATCTGCCTGACTCCAGCTGAATGCAGCATGAAGGTGCCATAGGTGGGTTTTCCAAAGCAGTACCTGGCTGCACTGAAATCAGCCCCTAGCTCTCGAGCCTGCATACAGCAATGAAGACAGTGGTTAGCTGGTGAAGCTGCTGAGCTCCCCCAGCCACTTCCAGGCTCAGGGATAGGTTTCAGCAGAGCAACCTGGGTTCACCAAATTGGGTACACCAGGTCGGTGGTCAGCAGGGTGTTGAAAGTGTTGTCAAATCCTGTCTCACCATACTTCTGTTAACCTTTGATGGAAGGAGAGTCCCTTTTGGGGCTGCCAGCTCAGAGAGCCACCTGAGCACACCGCTGCTCTGGAAACAGTGCTGCCTATCACAGCCTCCCTCACTGGGGTCAAGGTGGCTCCTCCATCACCTTTCCCACATCCTCACTTCAACAGGGGAGCATTCAAATGTCTGCAGGGCATGCTGACCCATGCTACGGCTCTGTCTAGCCAGCCAGTGGATACCAGACCTCAGGGTGAGCAAGCTGGAGTCTGGTGGGGAGTTTTGATCCTGTGTATAACCGCTGCCCTCAGCTATTTTGCAGCTGACATTCTCCACTCCCTCTTCCCGCATCCCACTCCAGGGAGGAGAGCCCAGGCCAGCACTAGCCCTGACTAGCCCAGCTGCCGAGCCTATGCTGCCTCCAGAGGGGGCTATTAATTGCGCCTCCTGCAGTAGGAGAGCCAGGGAAGAGAAGCCTTCCCCTACATCCACATCTCCTGCCTGGTCTGGGGCAGAAATAATTTTTGCCGCTTCCTCAGTGGCTGGGCAGAGCCAGTGGGAATGTTGTCAGGGACATCTGCATTGCAATTATGTAAGGAAGGAGATGCTCAGAGTGTAACAGCCACTGTAAAAACTTCTGTTGTGGAGTTGCCTTTCACCACATACAGCCTTGCCATACAAAACTAAATGCAAATGGAAACGCAAATTAAAATGCAAATGGAAACGCAAATGCCGGGCCTCCTGGGCTGCACTCACTCAGTGCTATAGAAATCCCTTGACCTCTCAGAAATATTCAGGTTGCTGCAAATGTCCTAGTCCAGAGTAAAAAAAAATAGTGCTTTTCAGTCTGGGTTCAAGCCTTTCTTCCCCTATGTGTAAGAGTAGCAGCTGGATTTTGTTGCACAAAAAGGCAATTTCTGCACTGCATGCACAGCCCACTCCCAGCTTCAGTGTGTAAAGCACACACTTACAGTCTTCCTGGCAAACAGGTGATTCATGGGTGATTATTGTGGACACTAAACCACCTTTCTCTCAGCTGCCAGCATGTATCTGCCATTAAACTGAATGCATGAGAGAAGCCTGCTCCCCAAACACCCACAGCGCTGTTAATAAAAGAGAAGAAAAAATAATTTGAATCAGGAGGAAGCCTGCAGGTGCAGTAGAGGTTCAGGGCCATAACTTCTCATCTTTCTTTTTTCTAAACTAACATTTGCAATATCTGCAGAGCCCCAGGGCAGCTCTTCAGTCACTGACTGTGGCTGGGTACTGCAGGCATGTCCCAGATCCACTGGTCCTGCTCAGGGCCAGAACCCTGCCCCAGCACACTGGAGTGTGGGCAAGAAGGAAGCCAGGATGTGCCATCCACTTGAGAGCTTAGCACTGCTCAGGGCAGGTGCTTCTCTGGACCACCACCATCCTTGGGTGCATCTGTCACAGCCCCTCCAGGCTTCACATCATCAAGCACTAAGCCAGGGACCTTGCAGGTGCCCGTAGGCATTTTAAGCTAGGAGAAACACTCCTCCAAGTAACAAAGCAAACCCCTTAGCAATCATGACTCTCATTTAGATCTACTCACATAGGTAGAGGAGGCAGATGGGATCCAGGCTGAGCACGCTACAGCTAATGAAACTGCATTGCTGTGAGTGGCTCTCTTCCCTCACCCAGAAAGAGGTCCCCTCAAGTGAAGGCAGACTGTGCTGCTTTACAGGTGATCCTTAAAATGACCAGCATGCAAGCAGGGAAGCACGCATGTAATGAAGTGCTGGGGCAGTGCTGGGTCAGAGCATACCCATTACATCTGTGATTTCCTGTTCATGCTGTGGTGACGCCAAAGTTTGGGCTTTGAGTCCATGCGCTCACCTGGCCTCCCACTTCTCAATGCAACCAATGAGCCAAAGCAGTGCACGAGCAGAGGGATCTGGGGAGCAGGGACAGGCAATGCTCTGTGGTGGGTCTGCAAGCAGAGGAGGCTTGATAGTTAGTGGGGATCCTTTAGTGTCTAATATGGTGGTTGAGTTGGGTGGAGAGAGAAATTTCCCCTCTACTTTCCCACCTGCCTGAAACCTGAAGCAACTTAATCCCTTTGAGACTTCTACTCCTGGGCCGGGTATGCTTGAGGAGGCCAAAAGCTATGGGCAAGAAGGAGGATGGGATCATACGAACCTTGTTTCCTTAGGAAAAGAGATAAAAGAAACAAAGAGATATAAAATAATTTCAAAAATTATCCCTATCACTGCTGGGGCTCCTCCACACAGTGGTTCTCACCCAAAAGCCTCCACTATAGCCACTGCGAAAAGTACTGCAAATTATCCCACTGCCTCCCTCTGGAAAGGTCCCACAGAGACCTGCAGTTCTCTAGCATGTACAGCACAGGACCAGAAAGACAATCATTTCTTCAGCCCTACTAAATCTTAAGCCCAAGCGGATCAAGCAGCCTACCTGCCTCCACCCGTCTGTTCTCATACACCTCTGGGCTTTCCGACACGGCGTTGTACTGCTGGAAAGGCTGGTTGCTGAAGAGATTGTCACACAAGAGGCTGCGACAGAGCTTCTTCAGGAAGCGCAGGACATACCCGATGCTGTTCACTACCAACACGTTCATGAGGTGCTGCTTCCCCTCAAAAGAAGCTGAAACTGGAAAGCAAACAGGAACAATGCAATACTTGGGGATGCATGGCAGGAGGAAGAATGAGAGCAGGGGAGAAGATTTCACACAAATATTTGTATGCCTTAAAATATTTTACATAATTACCCCATGGGAAGAACAAAACAAATTGGAGGAGCTTAAGGAGCTGAGTTTGTGTGAGCGAGATGACCTTCCCCTTGGGACACCGAAAGATGCATGGCCAGCAATGCAAGGATTTCTAATATATGCATCCAACTGAAAACTGTACTGTATGATTAGAAGGAGGTGATTATGATACCTTGGTCTAAGGAAGGAGAAAGTGATCTGCCAATGGTGGGCTATTAGGCTGACTTCAGCAATACACAAGGTTTTAAAAGATAATGGTGAGACAAGGAATAAAGATATGCTTTGGATAAATAAGAGGTGCCAGGGTTGTACTGAAGCAAGGACTACCAGCTTCATCATGGATCTTTATTTATGGATTTAACTGCATGTATAGGCAAGGGAAGGTTGGCAGCGGAATTCAGTTAAGCATGAGAAATTGTTCATTAAACGGGAAAGGATTGCATATGGAAGGAGACAATAGCAGGCTCTGCTGGCAGGTAACCCCAAGCACCGGAGAGGAGCCCGCAGTGGTCTGTGCTGGCACAAAAAGATTTTGTTGATGCTGTAAGCTAGGGGCATTATCAGTGGAGGACTGGGGGATTGTACAGAAAGGATTGTCTGATCTTGAGTTCTGCAATAACAAAAATGGGTGTAAAAAATACTAGAAAAGACTTGGCAATCTGTAATCTTTTTAAGGAGGTTCAACATGACCTGATGGGAGAAAAATGATGGAACAGGCTCACCAAATGCCTGTGAACCTCCAAGGTGACACAGCGATGAAAAAGTCAGATATATTTCAAGGAAGCATTGAACAAGGCATTTCCAGGAGAGACAAGGGGGTGTCGATTCCACTATATAAAGTCCTGGTGAAACTCGATCTGGACTGATGGGCACCATTCTGGTCATCCAGGCTTGAGAAGGGCGAATTCACGCTTGCAGATGTGCATAGGCAGGCCACAGTGATGTCCAGGGAACAAAAAGTTCCCCTGTGGCACTGCAGCCATCACCATTTATGCTACATGGGGCTGTGGGAAGACGCTTGAGTTTCTTTCAGTAATCCAGTGACCTTCTTCACAATGCAGAGAGGACCTGAGAGAAACTGTGTATTTCAGGCCTAGCAGGATGAAGACTGTTCTCTGGAAGTACATCTAAGATTGAACTCAAGGGTAAGAGTAGAGCAATTAAAATTCCTGGAAAAAGCTGTCAGGGAATATATTTAGCCAGGAATCAAAAAGGGCATAGGTCCCAGACGTCAGAGAGGTGGAGAGGTCACAACAGACCCACCAGGGTGAGTTGTAGCAGGTCACATTCAGGCGTCAACAGGTTTGCAGGGAGGGCTACACGATCTGGCTGCCTGAACTCCACCACCTGGAAGGTTTTTTCCAGTCCTATAGCCTCCAGTCACTACTAATGAGTATAAATTGCAATGGTAGGCTTGTAATGTTTG